AGAGTTAATTTTTGTAAGAATTTTAATTATTAACGTGATAAATAATAAATAATTACTTGATATGTGCAAGTGGTAACTGTAGATTTTAACTCGTTGTCAGTTTTCATAATATTTTCAGAAATTAGTGTAAAATGTGTGAAAAAATAATTTATATTTAATAGAAATTGCAAATTTTATTAAATTATTTTATTATTTAACAATCACATTTCATAATAATTGCAATTTAATTAAAAAATAACAGTTTTCTTAAAAGTGACAAGAACTCTATTATACCGACCACACACGGTAAAAGTGCGCGAATATGAATGCACATGATCTTCTGGCGGGAAAATTCAAATTGTTAATTACAACTATTTCATTATTATCTTAATTTCATTAATTAAATATATTTGATTAACCATAAAAGATAATCATTTTATAAAAATTTTCTCAGAAATGCCGAATTAATCATTTATTTATACCAATTTACTTATATTAATACTAATAATCACAATTTCTTTACTTTTAACTATCGCCCTATATTAGTTGCAGACGCCGTTAGATGGCAGCAGCATGCAGGGAGCACAAATTTCCAGCTATGCTATTACTTAAAATTAGTGATTATTAGCATTAGTATAAATAAATGATTAATTTTTTTATAACTTGTATTAAAAAACAATTTCATTAAAGAATTGTGAATATGAAATAAAAAATCTGCAACTGGAAATTTGTGCTCCCTGCATGCTGCTGCCATCTAACGGCGTCTGCAACTAATATAGGGCGATAGTTAAAAGTAAAGAAATTGTGATTATTAGTATTAATATAAGTAAATTGGTATAAATAAATGATTAATTCGGCATTTCTGAGAAAATTTTTATAAAATGATTATCTTTTATGGTTAATCAAATATATTTAATTAATGAAATTAAGATAATAATGAAATAGTTGTAATTAACAATTTGAATTTTCCCGCCAGAAGATCATGTGCATTCATATTCGCGCACTTTTACCGTGTGTGGTCGGTATAATAGAGTTCTTGTCACTTTTAAGAAAACTGTTATTTTTTAATTAAATTGCAATTATTATGAAATGTGATTGTTAAATAATAAAATAATTTAATAAAATTTGCAATTTCTATTAAATATAAATTATTTTTTCACACATTTTACACTAATTTCTGAAAATATTATGAAAACTGACAACGAGTTAAAATCTACAGTTACCACTTGCACATATCAAGTAATTATTTATTATTTATCACGTTAATAATTAAAATTCTTACAAAAATTAACTCTATGAATGTTCATTTAACCTCACAATACTAATTTTTATAAATTTTCATCAATTTAAAGCTTTTTTTTGATAATTACCTAAATTCGACTTAGATTCGACTTAGATTCGACCCAGCTGGGTCGATTTTAGGTAAATCGAATCCGCCAGGGGAAAAATGATTTCTAAAAGCATTCAAAATTGAAAGAATCCATCCATTGTGAAATTTCAACTTTGAATGGTTTTACAAATTAATTTTTCTTGAACCTAAAAAAATGAATTTCAAAAAATACTCAGAACTGTCATGATCTTTTTGATTGGATTTGAATTTAAAAAATATTTGGAATGATATAACTAATTTTGTCAAATATAAATTCTTTCAAGTTTTTTCTTTTCATAAACTTTAAAACAGTTCTACAATTTTTCTCTATTATTTATTACTTTATAGGATGCCATATTAAAAGCATTCTACTAAAAAAAAAATTTTTTTTACATTATATTTTTATTTATTATTTTTAGGGTTCCGTACTCGGTTCGAAACCCTATTAATGTCGGTTTTTTAAAATCGTGTACCCCCACCCCCCCCCCCCATAGCGGCCACACAAATTTATCTGGAGGGCTGAAATTGGGTACACATATGTATTTTCGCGTATAGATTACAGGAAAAATATAGCGAACTTGATTGGAATTTATTAACATAGCGTTGTCAAGGAAAAACCATGAATTTAAAAAAAAATCCTAAAAATGACTATGTACCCCCCCCCCCCCTAGCAGCCACATCTTTTGACATAGAAAGCTCAAATTTGGTACACTTATGTATTTTTACGTGAAAATTACAGGAAAAATATAGCGAACTTGATTCGGATCAATTTACATAGCGTTGTCAAGGAAAAGTAAAAAATTTCGAAAAAAATGGTTTAATCTCCCTAGCGCACACAATATTCAACCCAGACTGTTCATATTTAGTATACAAATGTATTTTTACTTGAAAATTACAGGGAAAAAGATGTGAGTACGATTGGAGTTAATGATTAATTTTTATCAAATTTTTAAAGAAAAATGATAATTTTAGGAAAAGAAATGTATTTTTCGACCAAAAACTAAGAAAATTTTATCTAAAGTAATTCAAATTTATATATTTTTACATGTAGATTACAAAAAAAAATATAGCGAGGATGATTAGAGTTGATGGTCCTGGTGCTGTCAGGAGAGAACTGATAATAATAGAAAAAATCATGAATTTTCTCCCAAAAACGAAGAAAATTTCATCTAAAGGGCTTAAAATTTATTCATTTTTACGCATTTTTGTGTATATATTATAGAAATAATTTAAAAAACATGATAAAAAGTTGTTCTAATTAAGTTTTTTTCGAAAAAAAAATTGTTTTTGAAAAAAGTGTACTTTTCCTATAAGTTTTTTATTCGTTTCTCTGTTCTATTTATTTTTTTCTAATTTTTTTCTCCTCTACCTATTCTTCCTTTTTTAATTCGATATTCTTTTCACATTTTTTTAAAAGAGAATGTTTATTTTAATTGAAAATAAAATCGGACAAGTGCGAGTTACACTCGCACTGAAATCGAAGGTTCCGTACTCGAAGCGAACTTATTTGGTATAATAACAAATGTTTAAAAAATATGTGTTGTATGAAAAATAATATAAGTGATAAAAAAAGGAACAATTTTGTAAAATTTAAGAAAATTGTTCCTCCTCGTATCACTTATATTATTTGACATACAACACATATTTTTTAAACATTTGTTTTTATACCAAATAAGTTCGCTTCGAGTACGAAACCCTCGATTTCAGTGCGAGTGTAACTCGCACTTGTCCGATTATTTAGTTTATAATTTAAAAGATAGAATTTTAAATAAAAGCATTTTAAAAACAAGTATAGAAAATTTCTAGAAACTGATATAAAATTTCTTGAAAATTGTATAGATTTCTAGAAAATTCAATAATATTTTTAGAAAGTTCTTTAAATTTCTAGAAAATTCTATAATATTTTTAGAAAGTTCTTTAAATTTCTAGAAAGATCTATAAATTTCTAGAAAGTTCTAGAAATTTCTAGAAAATTCTATAAATTTCTGGAAAATTCTATAAATGTCCAGCTATTTCTGTAAAGTTTTTTAAACTTTCTTGAAAGTTCTTTGAAGTTTCTTAAAGTTTGAATGAAGTTTCTAGAAATTGTACTAAAGTTTCTAGAAAGTTCCATGAAGATTCAAAAAAGATTTCATGAATATTTTTGATAATTCCTTAAAATTTGCTGTCTTGCGAAGTTAATATGTATACATTTAAGAAATATCAGTGTGTGTGGGGGGGGCGAAATTGTGAGGGGTTAATCAGTGGGTGGGGGTTTAAATGTGTCTATTATTATAAATATAAAATAAATTATAATCTGATTTTACTATAATATCGTTTATATTTATTATGTGTATATCTATATATACTCATATATATGTGTTATACCATGACAGGCAGACTATTACCTTGACACCAATTTCAAATAAAAGCATTCTAATAAAATCATTAAAATTGTTTATAAAAATTGTTTAAACAATTGAAAAATTGGGACGCATGAATATTCCTTTCATTATACTTGACGGTATTTTTGTGGTGTCAAATTAAAAATTATCGAATTTACATTCAGTAGAATTTAAAAAAATAGATTTTATTTAAGTGAAACTTTGGTCAAATAAAGTATCTGTGAAATAGAAATTCGCTGTCTTAAAAATTTAGCTAAGAAGAATTTCTGTTAAATGACAATTCTATAAATAAAAATTAGATTGTATAAGAATTTTTTGAATAAAACTTTTGTTAAATAAGAATTTTGTTAAAATTGTTGGAAATTCTGTTAATAAAAATACTTTTCAATAAGAATATTCGGATAAATAGAAATTCGACAAAAGGACAATTCTGATAAATAAAAATTCTTTTTTATGAAAATTTTTCTAAATATCAATTTTGTTAAATGGAAATTGTGTTATTTGAAAATTCAATATATTAGAAATCATCATAAAAATATACGTATTTCATGTTTTTCTACAAAGAATAAGAAAAAAAATATAATTTTCTACAAAACGATTAAAAAAATCATTTTCTGAATTAAATTGAGAGCACTACACAAAAGCGGGTGTTGTTGAATTGATAAAGCGCGAAAAGATTAAAAAAATGTAAATAACGACATCTTGAGAAAAGGAAATGGTAGGATTTTGTTTCGAACGGATTTATAAGCTATAAATAATCACAAATATAAGCCATTTTGTACTTTTTACACACATTTTTTTATACCTGGAACCACCTTAACATTTTCCTATTGGTGTGGAAAACTTATATATCTAATTCCTCATTCTGCCTTGGTATATGAACTAGTAAAATCGACAACCAACACCCAAATCTTCAAGAGGTATTCCGCCTTATTGGCACGTATAAAAAAATATGTGTCTCCCAGTTTTTAGTCCTTTACAACGAATGTTAAGTTCAAAAAAATCAGCGAGTACCTTCCTTGCACAGAAAAAACCTAATTTCAAATTGAGTACAAAATTTATACTCAATTTGATACGCATCAAAAATGAGACAGTCAGATGGCGCCACGTTTTATGTCATTTAACATGCACTCATTTTGAAATGCAACAAATATGAGTCCTACTTTTTTCTGTGTGTGAGTGTCTCAACCTGCATACCTCTCCCCTATATATTTATTTTTGCTTAAAGTGAAGAACTCTTGAAAACTATAAAATATTTTGATATGTACCTCACACATTTGCAATTGAAAAAGGCGTCTCTCTTTCTCCATTTCATCAGCAATTTCAGCAGATGTAACTTCAGATCTGATAAGACCAGCTTCTTTTGCATGCTGTTTTTTTTCTTTTTCAATTTTTGCATATTTAACTTCATAATCTTTCCACGATTTATCGAAAGGGCGTTTAAGATCTCCTTTAACACCTTTTAAATCTCCTTTTAGTATTGTATCCAATGGAAACATTACAATATTATTAATGTTTTGCATCTGTAAAATAATGAAATTTTGAAATACAGTAAATATCAAATTTACTTTTTGATGAATAAAAATATTTCAATTGTACACATTGAAAATTAAATTTACAAACATGTTTGAAATAAAAATTAACATTAACAAGAAAATTTATTTAAAATAATGTCATGCAAAGGTTCCTATACAGGAACACTCGCATGATCCTGTACACAAAAATATTTCACTTTCTTTTTATGCCAAGGAAAATTTGAACCGTTCGCTGGAAAAATGGTTTAAGTCGACACATGCCGTATTTTAAAAAACTGTTTCTATCGTATTATTTATTACATTAAGTATAATAATGAATGAAAATTGATGATTTAATAATCATTTTAAAGTTTTAATTCGAATTTCAAACTACGCGCCGGCCGAATGTCGCCACGAAGCTCACTACTGTTGCGTGTAAGCGTAGTTCAAAATTCAAAATAAAAATTTAAAATGATTAATAAATCAAAAATTTTAATTCATTATTATACTTTATATGATAAATAATACAATAGAAACAGTTTTTTAAAAAACAGCTTAAGTCACGACTTAAGCCTTTGTTATTTCAAATAAAAGATTGTTTATATTTATAAATTTTGAATAAAGACTATAAGAAAGTAACAAAAAATTGTTTGTGACATATATATTTGACTATTTCTGCCTAAAAACAATTGTTTTTTGAATTTTTCATTCGATCTTTAGAAAAACGGATTACATTTCTATGTTTATTTACTTTTTAAATTAATAATATATAAAAAAAATTTAATTTTATGATAAATATATATATATATGGGTCATTCCATTTTATTTCACCTATCGTCGTTGAAGCCTATTTTTAGAAAAATTTAGTATTTTGTATTAATGACTTTTATTATCCGTACAATTCATTTTTGACAATTATTATATGAAATTTTTTTTTATTTACGTTGAAATTTAGTTTTTAAGTTGAGTTGAACGGAAAGTAGGTTAGTTTTACAGCTTTGGAAATTTTATAAAAAGGAACAGAAATAATTCAGTTAGTAAATTTTTTTTCATTGATATTTGTTTAAAATAGTCTAATTTACCAATGTTAATTGATAATTGTGTAAAAAAAGCCAAAATACTAAGTGAAAATTAATATTCAAACTTACCTGTAAAATGTCAAAATTTGTCACATTTTATTTATATTTTCCAAGACAGTTTATAAATATTATAAAATTTATTACTACCTAACAATAAGTACTTTCCATGTACTTTCACATGACATGTTGGTTTTTTATTTTTATAATATAGAAATATGTGAAATTTTACCTTGAATGTTGAACTTTTAAGGATTTTATCTGATTTTGAACACTTATATCTTCGCAGGCGATTAATGAAAAAATCCCATTTTGGTTTTAAAATTTAAGTTAAATCTTCTTTATTCATCTTATCAAAATTTGGTGATGGAGAACGAGCTATTTTTTATTTATATTCACTTTAAAAAATTCACCGTAAAATACGAATTTGAAGGTTAAAAAACAAGTATTTTTATAAATAAAATTCATACAAATAAATCTATATTGAGAAAACCAACTTCAGTTTTATAAAATTACTTGTTTTTTAACCTTCAAATTCGTATTTTACGGTGAATTTTTTAAAGTGAATATAAATAAAAAATAGCTCGTTCTCCATCACCAAATTTTGATAAGATGAATAAAGAAGATTGAACTTAAATTTTAAAACCAAAATGGGATTTTTTCATTAATCGCCTGCGAAGATATAAGTGTTCAAAATCAGATAAAATCCTTAAAAGTTCAACATTCAAGGTAAAATTTCACATATTTCTATATTATAAAAATAAAAAACCAACATGTCATGTGAAAGTACATGGAAAGTACTTATTGTTAGGTAGTAATAAATGTTATAATATTTATAAACTGTCTTGGAAAATATAAATAACACAGAAAACTAAAAGGTATTAAAATAAGCTGCAACGCTTCTTATTTTAATCAAATTTTTCTTATTTTAATCCATTTTGGTATTAAAATAAGTAAAAATGGATTAAAATAAGAAGCGTTGCAGCTTATTTTAATACCTTTTAATTTTCTGTGAAAATGTGACAAATTTTGACATTTTACAGGTAAGTTTGAATATTAATTTTCACTTAGTATTTTGGCTTTTTTTACACAATTATCAATTAACATTGGTAAATTAGACTATTTTAAACAAATATCAATGAAAAAAAATTTACTAACTTCATATGGGTCTCGTTGGATGCGGAATTATGTCAACTTTATTTTAGTAACGTTAGAATTACGATAACTTTATTTGTTCATAAAATATATCATTTTTTATTAACCTTAATTATTAACTATAATAATCTCCGTATTCTTTCATTCTTTTATTCCGTCCCACAGTGGGGCAGAATGCATAAAAAGTTGGCAAAAAATGAAAAATTGAAAAATTCAATTCCAACTTTTAATTACATTATTTCAATAAACAATAAGTCAAAGTTTGATGAAATATAATTTTTAGCCCTTTTTAACTGCGGATTTTCATAGAAATATGTTTTAATGTCGACCTATTTTCAACAGTTATGTTCGCGCTTTTTTGTTTATTTATCAAGGTAAGGTTTGTAACCTGATTAAAACGTACAATGTGACAGATTTTGAATTATTTATCATGGAATCTTCAAATTCAGGTATTTAATTATATTATAGAAAAGATAAAATCGTATTTTATAATATTTTAATTATTAAAATTCTTAAAAGAAACGAGCTTCTGAAATTCAAAAATTGAAAAATTTTCTGTAAACATTAATCATTTTAGATATGTTCCAAGCTAGTCCAAGCGTTAATTCTTGAATTTTTTATTATGTTTTGATTCCAGGTTTCTGAATCTGCTTGAAATTTTTGCGAATATTTGCGATTTTTCGAGAAAAAGTGATTTTATTGGACACATTGCAAAATACAGAAATATGTATTTTCAATAATGAGTGTATACTTTGTTTTAAGAAAATTTGTTAACCTTTAAAAATTAAACTTAATAAGATTTTGATTTTAAAATGTTTTATATTATTAATTTTATATTTAAAAGTTTATAATTGAAATTTATAAAATGGGATAAATAAATATTCTTACAATTTTTGAATTTCTTCGTCGCATAAGTATTTTTAATTTAAGTAAATATTTGTAATTAGTGTAGAAATTAAAAATAAATTATTGTAATTTTTATATTAGGAACGACTTCAAGCACGCTTCATGCTTAAAGAAAAAAGAACTCGTTGAAATAATGAACCGTTCAAATAGCAGTAAATTCGATGAGAGATTTAATTTTTTAATATCTGCCATTTTGAATCTGCTATTTCGTAGTTTTAAAAAATTGACTTCATATTCGTAATCATCAACCCCAAAAACACACGAATATCTAGTTTCAAACGATTTCGTTGAAATTTAAAAAACATATCCGCCATGTTGGATCCGCCATTTTGAATTTTAAAAATCCGACTTTAGATTCGTAATCAGCGACCTCGAAAACCCTTAGATACCAAATTTTATAAAAATCGAACAATTTTGAAAAAAATTGTCCGCCATATTGGATCCGCCATTTTGAATTTTAAAAATCTGACGTTAGATTCGCAATCAGCGACCCCAAAAACCCCTAGATACCAAATTTTATAGAAATCAAACTAATTTTTTAAAAAATTGTCCGCCATATTGGATCCGCCATTTTGAATTTTTAAAAACTGACTTCATATTCGTAATCAGCGACCCAAAAAACTTTAAAATCTTTAATGTCAATACTTTTCAATGAAAAATACATTTAATGCCAACTTTTTTAACATTCTGCCCCACTGTGCGTCCGCATCTCCACTATTTTTTTGGCGACAAAGAAAAGAAGCGAAGGAGGGACAGATAGGAAAGTAACTTATATCTTATTGGTTAATAATAATAATTAATAATAATGACGAAAGGGAGTCCTGTTTTCTATTGGCTGTTTATCTCTCCTAACATTCAATATGCATTTTATTCTCTTATCGACTTTAAATTGGTTGTTATTTGTTTATTCATGTAATAAAAAAAATTTATTTCTTCTTTTGTTTTTAATAATTATATTTATTAAAAAAATATGAATATTAAATAATATTTTAATTTAATGATATTTGTTGACGAGAGAAAAAGAATAAAAGATGGAAAGTAACGTCTATCTTATTGGTTTAAAAAATGGCGTCCTGTTTTTTTATTGGCTTATTATATTTCCTAACTTTAAACATGCATTTTATTCTTTTAATAAAGTTTAATTATTTGTTTTTCTTGTTCAATTATATTAATATAATTGATTAATTTATTTATTATATTTTTAATTGAAGAAAAAAATATTAGTATTAATTTCTCAATACAATATATTTAATCATAAATGACATCGTAATATCCTCATTTATTTATCATATAATAATATTCTAAAATGATTTGGTCTATACTGTGTTTATAAATAACTTTTATTGGCGTCCAGAAACTGGTGTCATTTGTCCAAAGATGGACGGTTTTAGTTTTTGTTTTCCAGTCAAGCAAAGTAAACTTGAATTTGTTATTTAATTTGTATAATGTCAAAACCGTGCAATATCTTGTAGGGTGTTGTGGGGTGGTGTGCAACATTTTTTTCATTGATCGGAAAACACCTTTAAAAATCAATGTTTTTAATATGTTATGATTCTATTGTTTAGAGGAAGTGAAAGTGTATTAGATTTTCAGAAATTTGATTTGTCCTTAAGTTTTTTCGAATTTTCAAAATCGTCCGTTTTGTCATTTTCAAAATTTTTGGGGGTGATGTGCGACACGGGTAAAATTTAAGTTAAAAATGAATAAATATCGACATAGTTCGATGTAAATGTTAAATTTGGGCTTCTAAAATTACAATTAATCGAAATCAGGTGAAAAATGTAATATGATGTAATTGACCACTGAAAATTGAGAAGTTGAATAGTAGAACTCTTTGCTCTCCCTTATGTCTTCGAATAAACCAAGTGTCGG